ATTCCGACATCACTGTAGAGGAGCTTACAGAAGCTCTGAAAGCTATGAAGGATGGAAAGGCAGCAGGGCCCTCTGGACTCACAAATGACATTATCAAAGCATCTGGTACTGCAGGTATCCAAACGTTACTACAATTTTGCCGTGAAATCTGGAGAAATTGCTCAATGCCGACTGAATAGAACTATAGCATGACAGTCCCGCTATACAAAGGCAAAGGTGATCCATTGAACTGTTCATCATATCGGGGTATACGTCTGTTAGAACACTCCCTGAAAATTGTCGAAAAAATCATCGAGAGAAGATTAACGTCGTGCATCACAATTGGAAATTATCAATTTGGTTTTCGAGCGGGGAAATCAACAATTGATGCAATTCACATCCTTCGGCAACTGCAAGAGAAGTACCTCGCAAAGCATCAACAACTATCACACATTTTTGTAGACTTTGAAAAAGCATTTGATCGAGTTCCCCGTGAAGCAATCAGGTGGAGTCTACGTCGACAACTCATTCCAGAATATCTTGTTCGACTTGTGATGGAAATGTATATGAATAATAAGACTCTTGTCAGCACAACGGTTGGAAACACAGATGCATTTGACATCGGCGTTGGAGTTCACCAAGGCTCGATTCTTAGTCCACTGTTATTTATAACTGTGATGGAAGAAATCACAAAACCGGTACGCACTGGTGACATTTGGAATCTAGTATATGCTGATGATATCGTTTTAACAGCCACGTCTGAGCAGAATGCAGCACAGATGTTTGAAGATTGGAACACCAGACTCGCCGATCATGGATTCAAAGTCAACATCAGCAAAACCAAAGCAATGAACACTGGTGAACCCATCCAATCCACAGCTACTGGACGATGGCCCTGTTCAGTTTGTAAAGCTGGTGTAGGTAACAATTCAATCAAGTGTCAGCAGTGTAACCAGAGGTGTCACAAACGTTGTTCAAAAATAATTGGTACTTTATCTAAAGTGTCCAATTTTGTTTGTCCTGCTTGCGTCAATCCACAACAACAAATTCGAAATAGCACTGTTTTTGAAGCCATTAAGGTAGAGAAAGTTACATCGTTTAAATATCTAGGAGATGTTCTGGATTGTACTGAAACAGCTGAAGCTGCCGTTCGAGCACGCATACGTGCAGCCTGGAATAAATGGCATCTCCTTGCCTCTATATTGATGCGGCGTGACATCCCACTACCACTACGATCAATACTTCATAAATCTGTGATACGTCCGGTGTTGTTATATGGTGCAGAAACATGGCCAATGACAACCAAACTGGAACAACAACTTCAACGAACCGACATGAAAATGCTCCGATGGATGCAACGAATTAGTCTGAAGAACCACATCAAATCTACCGAAAGCTTGCGTCGTGCTGGTTTAGATGATATAAAGGACGAATGCCGGCAACACCGTCTGCGGTTGTTTGGTCATGTCAAACGAAGTGGAAACAGTGCCATAACTTCTCTTGCAGATGTTGAAGTACCTGGCACACGTCCCAAAGGCCGTTCAAAGAAGTCCTGGTCGCAAACAATCGAGCAAGACATGAAAGCTCTAAATTTAAATGAAATGGATACAACTGATCGTCTAATTTGGCGCAAAAAGTTGATGGCAAAGAAAACAACGTCCTACCTCGGGGAACCGGGACTCTGGACGCAAAACGAAGATTGATTGATTGATTTGATGTATGGCAGTAAGACATGGGCTACGAAAGTGGGAGATATGCAGCGTATGGAAAGGGCAGAAAAAATGATGATTAGGTGGATGTGTGGCGTAACAGTGAGGGACAGGGAAACGAGTGAAGAGCTCCGACAAAGGTTAAATATAGTAAATGTGCGTGATAGGGTGAGACAGGGTAGATTGAGATGGTTTGGACATGTGGAACGTAGAGAGGAGGATGGCTGGGTGTCAGCATGTAGACATGTGATAGTTGACGGGGAGAAGGGTAGAGGATGAGGAGGAAAAACTTGGAAGGAGTGTGTGGCAGATGACATGAGAAATATGAAGTTGAGAAGGGAAGATGCACAAGTCCGCAATGTATGGAAGAGTGGCATCCTTGGAAACCGTCCAGTCCGTGCAAGCGCGGAATTACGGACGTTAAAACGATGATGATGATGATTTAAAAAATGTTACAAGAAATTATTTAAAATTTTTTGTTTCAACTAAACAGCATAAATGTGCACAGGGTAACTTGGTAGTGACCTTGAGTTTCATGAAGGTCAGCAGCATATATGTTTAGAGGCGCTCAACCCTGATCTGCAGAAGCGCCCAGTGTTCGTTCCGAGGCAGAATCCCGGGTTGCCCTTTTCGCACGATCACACACACTAACACGATTTCTCCATTTGTCTCAATCCTGGACCAAGTTTGGTTTCAGGCCAGGAAGTTTGGATCTACCACTTCCTTATACTGTTAAACCTTATACTAATTTAGCATTTTTTTCACCCAGTCCTCATCTGCTCTCCTCTCCACATGGCCAAACCATCTCAGTCTAAGACTTCTAATTACATTTGACGTCTCATCCACCCCAGCTCTTCTTTTAATACCTCATTACTTAGCTTAGACCATTTTTCAGCAAAATTTCTTAACATTTGCCTTTGTTTTCTCCAGCTTTCCTACGTTTTCAGCTGTCATATCACAAAGCACTAAAGTCATTTCTCTAAATTATTCCAACTCTTTTATACTTTATGACCCCTAGTAACCCCATTTTGATTTGTAGATTATTTCACCCTGCATCGTTTACAAACTCCATATATATAATAATTGCACACGCGCGCACAAGCCCAAACATTGCTAGGTAGAGAGAGAGCTATCAGCAACCAGGACATTAACCTTTTACTGAGAGTCACTCCGCCGTCTCTCAGATGGTTCAACTCCTGCTCAGTGATCAGTGGATCGTGTCCGAGAACAAGTACAATAGGAGTGTCAGTGTCGGCTGGTTCGGCACAATTGATATGCGTCGTTGTTGTTGTTAGCGGTGTTGCTGTCGATGACGCTGGCACTGGTAGTGTTGCGGCATTTGTCCTTTTAATGAAGTGAGGTAGACTGATTCGGAAGGAGTCCAAGGAAGATGGTGAAGAGCACACCAAAAAGAAACCTATAGTAAAAAGTAAAATCCATTTATCATCATGATTTTGAAAAATTGAAATATAAACTAACCATGAAATTTGAAATTCGGTTGCACATCAAGCTGTACAAGTTGATCAACATTGTTTTTGATATTGCAACAAAAGTTGAAATTTTGGTTAATAATGTGAAATTCAATAGTCAACAAATCATCATCAATCCTCAACTGATCGTTTTCCAGAAGTGCCTGAAGGATAAAATATAAATAAAAAAATGTCGAGAGCTACACCAAAACATAACAAAACTTCATTAACTCGTCGTCATTTTGTTTCTAAATAAAATCTTATCCACATAAATTGGCGCTCAGTGGTGTAGCGGTAAAGTGTCTGGCACTGACCGAACTCAATTGCAAAGAGATCCCCGCCTACCACATGCAATGTATTAATATGTGATGCGTTGTCTCACTGTGTGTCTGTTGTTGATGCCATGCCTCGGAGAATTGTTGAAGAAAGATTCGTAACAATAGTAATAATAATAATAATAATAATAATAATAATAATAATAATAATAATAATAATAATATTAATAACAGTAGTAGTAGTAGTTAAGGTTAGAAACGAACGTGGATATCTTGATAGAACTCTAGAGCAAGTTCGTACTGTCCGACGATAGCGAAGTGGAGGTTGCAGTTGTTGCTCAGGTGGTCTGCTCCTCCCCCATTCATCATCACTTCTATGCTAAATTTTCAGAAATATTGTCAATATTGTCATTATCCCATCATTATCATATCCTCATCAACTCATAGTTACCAATTCAAAATCTCATAATCATCATCATCTCATCTTCATCATCACCTCGTAAACATCATTTTCACCATTTCTTGATCATTACTATCTGATAACCAACATCCACATAATAATTATCTAAACCATTATAGCAGGTGTATTAAAAATCCCTAATTAGCCGATGAATAGTAATATGGCGAACCAAAAAACTTACCAATCATAAAGTTTGTCGTTGAGTATAGTTTCAATTTGATGATCTGAACATGACTCTCTGAACATGCACCTCTCTTTTGATGCCCTCTGAATGAAACCAAGGTGGTTCAATATCAGAGATCTTCTATCTTCTTCCAGATAGGAAAGATGTTTATACCTGTTCATTCATTTGTTGTATGCATTCATTGCAGAACAAGTTCATTCATTTGTTGCATGCGTTCATTCCAGAACAAGTTTATTCATTTGTTACATTGTGGCATTTTGGAGACTCACCGAATGTTCGACCAAAATTTGATATTTGGCTTCGACCATTTTAAAAAACCGAACGCCGATTAGCTGAACATTGCAATTTTCATCAAGCTTTTTTGGGATTCCAGAACAATAATTGTTGATTTTTATTTGCGGAAAATTTTAAATTTACTTTGGCCATCATAGCTATTAAACCAACATAAATTGAACAAGAGATTAAAGATAATTTCAATGAATTCGATAAACACGAATCGCTTGTTTTTTTTTTCTCAATAACTTGTTTTTCATTTTAAAAAAATTAAAAAAGTTGCAAAACTTTGGTATTTGGCCAAATAGTAGATCGAGCATTCGGCCTTCGGTCAAATTCACAGTGTATCTACACATTCATTCAATCACTGCATGCAAAGCAAGATGAGTAGTAGAACGTACGATCATAAGGTTTTAGGTTAATAACCCGTGTTGCAATGGCCAGGTTGGAATTCAAAATGCATGAATTTACTTAACTATTTGTTAAAATTCACTATTCAATATTTTTCAGACAACAAAAAACACACAGTGCATGTGAAAGCACGTGAAACAACTCATCACACACATCGCATGTGACAGGCGGGGATCTCTTCACTACTGATCCCTGCAGCAGCAGTACCAGGCATATTTTTAACACCATCACATCATCGCACTGCTAAACACCTTACATCTTAGCAAACATCTGACTTTACACGTATTTATACGTATATCACGTGTAATAATTCTGAGTAAGACAAAAGAATTCATTACATTACAAAACAATAAGAATTGAATGAGCTAACCGATATTCTTGTTGCAGTTTATTGTTGATATCCTTTACATCATCGTTACTTATCTGGCAATTTTCATATCTTGTAAACAACTCAGCATTTTCATGAAGCAATTCCTGGAAGTCCAACTTGGCTCTATCCTGCATGAACAGAATTGTATAGCAAGTTATTCATGTTTTTATGCAATGAATCTCTTACATGTATGCATGCACGTACGTATGTATGTATGCATGCATGCATGCCAATTACAATTCCGAATTCACATAGGGCTCATTAATCACAATCAATAGGTTACTTTGTAAAACTTATTGAACACACACGTCTTCAACTTCTTCATAAATTCTGCAGTTGTCAAATCAGGTTGTCTTACATCATTCGGAAAACAGTTCCAAAATGTCGGTCCAGCAACTTCAAAATCTTTTCCAGCTGTTTTCAAATTAATCTTTCTAACATGTAGAATGTTCATGCATGGTGGCCTTAAACTGTGATGAGAACGAATCGTTGAAGCTCTGTAACATTGATTTGCAAACCATTCATATGTAAAATAAAACTTCAAGTTTGAACAAAGTTTTTTCTTTAACAAGAAACCGGTGTAGAGCTTTCAAAATCGGAGAAGTACTTGATTAGTTTTGCCGCCTGGTTCTGTATAAGTTGTAATTTATTACGCCGCTCATCATCTTAAATTCCATACAGGAGACTATTACAGTGATGCAGTCTGGATGCACCAATAAAACAAGACCATTTTTGTCAAGCCTTTTTCCTTTTTTAATTTTAATAACCTGTTCATCCATCGTCAAACCTTGTCGAAGATAAAACCCATATTTGAGACCGCATCAGAAAATCGGATGTCAGTCATGCACAAGCAGATAGAGTTTTCCTTAACTAGACATAGTTGCTGCCAGGTCCTAACAATCATGACTGAGTTTTTGTTTGGTTCATCTTCAATCTATTTTTATCCAACCCTTCACTGACGTCATTAATGCATCTAACAAGTTTGTCCGACATATTTGAAAACTTGGACGGGTAGCATAAGGCACATAATTGTTTGTCATCAGTATACTTGTGACAATAAAAGCCAAACTTAGAAAGAACAGAGACCCTAGCACCAATCTCTGAGGTACCCCGGATATCAAGTAGTCAACACTAGAAGTCTTACCAAACACTATGTATGTACGTATATATATATATATATATATATATATATATATATATATATATATATATATATATATATATATATGTATGCATGTACAATCCAGGTTCAAACTCATTCACCATTGTTATACGTGTTGTGTGTTGAGTTTTGTTGAATATTTTACGTTTCAAAAAAAGTTGAGTTAAATTGGGAATTTTTAAAAGCATAATAAAAAATCTCATGGTTGGCAAATTTAAAATGATTGAAAACTTTGTGTGCTGCAACCAAGAGGCATTGTGGCCATAGAATCACCAAACACGTTTATACATTTACAACACTTATAATTTTTTAATCTGCTTTATGGAGGGCTAACTTGGGATTTTTGAAAAATTTCTTGACAATTATTCCAAAGAATAAATTAACCCTGTTTTACTTGATTATCGCAATTCCAAATTTCAAAAAGTCGTTAAATATTCATTAACTTAGACAATTTTTGAATTACTTTAAAACACAGATGTCACCTATGCAAGACTAACTATCAAAAATAACGATTAACAATATAATTATAAATCATACATGTTATGAATTTAGTTTATCCAGTTGAATTAAGTTTAAATTTGCAAAAACAATAAAAATAACGATTAAGAAATATAACAAAAGACGATGCATGTATTGGGGTGAGTTTTTCAATTAACTTCAGCTGACTGGAGACGATGATACGATGATGGGTGAGTATGAGTGGCGCAACAACAATGACAACGACATCAAAGTAAATGAACCTTCAAAACTTTCTGGTAGTCATCAAAGATATCCAATTTGTCCTTGTCAGAAAGTGAAGAGAAGCATTCCCTGCCGACGAAGTAGATGCTGACCTCCTGCAGTGACTGGCCCGGACGCATGTGCTTGTTCTCCTCCAGCATCTGACGGAACTCTCTTTTGTACCTTCGTTTCGTTAAATATGCATGACATGTTTACCAGTACATACATTTAAAACTTCATATAAACAATACATATACTTTTAATTTTTTTTATATTTTAAGCGTGATTACAAAAGCAACAACACGCACGCATGTCTGACGTATGATGACAAAGATGACAAAATTTGTGCACGTTTAACCGGAGCAGCATAGTACGCATTTTTGCAAGTCAAGCCAAATAATTCGTACAAAAATATATAGTGAAAATATTGGCTAAGATATCAATCAAAATATTCATTTTTCATTTTTAAAAACTAGTTCCAGATTAACACACACACACACACACACACACACACACACACACACACACACACACACACACACACACACACACACACACACACACACACACACACACACACACACACACACACACACAAGCACATGTTAAGTCATAAAGAACAAACTCAATCTTCCTCTTCTCTACTCTGAGGTGGTTCACGTAATTCCTGTAGACGAGTTCAGCTTGGTGAGTCTCAAGTAAGTCTAGCGGGATGCGACCATCATTCCTGTCAAGCAATGCACTGTCCATCCACTGCATGTTGTCCGGTAGGACCACAAAATGAGACATGAACTTGTCATGCTTCTTTAACCAGAGCAGCATGGAGTACCAACTCCTTTTTATTTCGATGGTTTTAACAAACAGTTCAGCTCAAATATAAATATTATTCAACCACATACACTTATAATTCATTCAAATTACAAAATGATCAATAAAATATTAAGGTCAAATAAACAGATCATAAAAAGTAAATTGAAAACAATAGATGGCATAAAATTAAAATGGAACACAATCATTCAAGTTGCACATTAAATATAATGATAATAATATATTTCATTGAGTTTACTTGTCAGCAACGGCATCAAAATTGGGAAGGACCTCCTTCAGCACACATTCAAGCCTGTTGTTGTTGCACATTCGTTAATTTATGGCATGAATGAAGAAAATATCGTACCTATCACCAAATCAAAACTAACTAATCTAAGCATCACTCCAATGTATGTAAGTCATTCATGCATCTAATTTTATATGCATGACTGGGACCACACCCATCAACTTTCAAATAATCCAAATTTTTATTAAAGTAAGCATATTAACTACAAGCCATTTCTCATGTGTATATAATTATACTGAATGACATGAAGGAAAACTAAATGTGAAACATATTCTTATTATAAGGCCCCTCAAAAGATGAAAAAAATTGTAAAATCAATGTAAAATGTGAAGGCAATTAAATAAAAGAACCTTTCTAAATATTTCTTCTGCTTCATTTTTATGTACTCTTCCTTAACAGTAATCAGATATTTTCTGAAAACCCTCCCCGCTTGGTCAGTTCCAAACAACTGAATGTAGGAAAGGAAATCAGCATTGGATTGCAGTTGTTGGTGTATGGGAATCCACAAGGCCTATTTCAACAGTTAAGTCATTTCAGATTGTTAATAACAACAACAACAACACACGTTTAGACGACATTTTCCCCGAGATCGGGGGTTGCCGCTTGGCTACCCATGACGAAACCGAAATACCCCTCGACGCCATTCTGCCGGATACTGAGGGCCATTGTCACTTCTGTCATCATAAGTAATTTATTTGGCTAATTTTTACGCAGGACGCCCTTCCTTACGCAACCACAGTTATAAGCGGTGGGCCTAGCCTTTGATGATCCAACATCACTCACAAGGCAGTGAGGGTCAGTTTAATGTCATAACCAAAACAGAAGATTGTTACCGTCAAAACCAATTTTTTTTTTTTTTTTTTTTTTTATCAGTCAAAACCAAATTACAGATTGTTAATAAATAATTTGGTTTTGACTGATAAAAAATAATTTGTTTTTGACGGTAAAACATTTTTTTATATAATTTTAAACGTTAAATACGTTAAATATGAACTGTTTTCTATTAATTTAAATAGTGAAAATTAATTAAAAAATTGTAAAATTACATATATCAAAAATTATAAAAATGAATTACAGAAAATATCACATTTTGATAAGAACATGAAAGAACTTTAAATTTATAAATATTTCTACCCAATCATAATCATTAACGGCCTCTACTGTACAATCAGATGATTCAGATAAGAATAAAACACAGAAATAGAAAAGTCTACAATTCCTCAACACTTTTGATCAAACCATTCTCTCCACAGAGAAGAAAGCAAAATGATCAAATGTACCTTATAATCAGTTCCCACGTGGCTTTTAATCAGTGACATGAAAGCATTCTCGGTGATCTCTTTCGTCTCCATGACGACCCTGTGAGCATCGGCGTACGATGGCACCTTGCTTCGATTCTTTGGAGTTTTCTCGATGAGGTGAACAAGGGACATGAAGGCAGCCTCGACGTTGACATTTTCATGCGCGGATGTCTCAACTATGGGAATGATGCCTCGTTCCTTCAGGTCTTTCTTCAGGACCAACCTACATTTTTTTATGTCAGGCTCATTTGTTTGGTTTGAGCTATATAAAAATTCGTTAAATAATATTTAAAAGTGAACTTAATTTGCATTCTTGATAGTCTAAATACAAATACTCACCTAAATGTCAAACATCCAAAAAGTATAGCATTTGAAATAATGTATTATTAAATACTAAATGTTGGAAAACCAACTTCTCGACTTCTGCAGCGAACGGTTTGTACGCTTGATCATTCTTGGTGGTGGCGATGGTGATGGGCTTCTTAGTTCTGATGAGTTGTGTGAGTATGCAGTGCATGTGGTCCAACTGCACTTCAATCGGTCGGTTGGATGTCGTGCTAACATCGAAGACACAAATGAAACCGTCGACATTAAATCTTCCATCTGGCATCAGATGTTCGTCAAACTCGTGCTCGAGACCTGCAAGTTACGAACACCATCGTTCATTTTATCGTTCACTATCATATTATTTGTTGTGTGTGATAGAATTGCTGTTTTATTACGCTAGGATTCACTTAGGCTTAGTTTTGAATAGATAGACGAAATAAAATTAAAAATTTGTTTTTAATAATTAATTTGATAGCTTTTGAAAATTATCAAAACAATACTTTTGATAATTTTCTGTATGGCGCGATGGTGTAATGGTTAAGGTGCCTGGCATTGTTGATGCAGTGTCCGGGTTCGAATGCAAAAAGATCCACGCCCATCACATGCAAAAGTGTGTGATGCGTTCACGTGTATTTATGCACCGCGTGTCTGTTGTAATAATGATAATGCGCCTCAGTCGCTTGCCATATAAAAATAAAATGACATTATTATTACTACTATTATTTGCTATCATGATATATTTCATTATGGTGTACATGACTTTTCCTAAGTTGCTTCATTTGTCGTTAATGCAACTGTCATTGATGCTTTCAGAAGAGTGCAAACTATTTTCATGCTTAATTGAAAATGACAATGTTGGTCTTATTAAAATAAAAAAAACACTTCTTAAACATAATCAGCTAGCACAAGTCAACTCCTAAATTTTATAAAATGATCACATTATATTTTATAATGATTCTCATGCATAGACTTCAAAAGTACTTTGAAGCTTCATCACATACATTTGCTTCTCGTTACTTTCTCATTTCTACTTTCTCAACAGATGTTGATAGCAATTTACAATGGAAACATAAAATTATGCTTATAAAAATCAGACTAATTTTCAAAAATCCCTTAAATCTTTTTTAAATGCTTAGAATAACCAAATTTTAGTGGTACGGATAAAATCTTGAAACATCCATTATGCGTGTCTATTATGTGAAACATCCATTATGTGTGTCTATTAAAATTTTGAATGCTAATTAAATCTCTACATGTGAAAACGTTATTTCAAAAAAATTAATTTTGAACACCAATCTCAAGTTGATGTCAGTTGTATTCTTCCTAGGTTTGCAAATGTATTTGATCAGCCACAATAGATTGGGTGAAACTTCCTCAAATGAAGCTCAGTAAGAACAACTATGTCAGTTGCTTCATGCCTAACAAAAACATGAAAAGATAAAAATCTGAACGTGTACCAACCTAACTGATTTTTGCATATGTATGCCAGTTTTTCTGCAGATTGTAGCTTGCAAGCAGCACATCTTTTGTAATAAGGATCCGTTTTGCCTATCTTGAAAGGCTGAAAAGAGGAATCGTCAACAAATTCAGTTTGCTCGACTATCCTAAAAACGTATTCAGCTCCATCATCGACTTTCCTGGTGGAGCCCCAGTACAAGAAGTGATCGTTGTTAACTACCCGACCTGCAAAGTCACTCTCACTCAAGACAGAAATGTGATCTGTGTAGTAATCATCCGCCAGTGGCCGAACAAATCTGTTAATCAAGCACGACTTGCCAACTCCCAAAGAACCTTTTTCTTTTTCCGTGCCAGATAAACCAACGACGGATATGTTGTAGATTTTGTCTACCTTCTTAGACATGGATTTTGTTATGGTATGACTCATTTGTCATTATCCAAGTAGCAGATTAACATTTAGAATTTCTTTTAAAACTTCAATCTATTTTGGGGATTAAAAAAATATAAATAAAGAAATATATGTAAATAAATCATGGGGTTATCATACAACCTTAACATATAGTACCATGAAATAAGAATAATGAAAATCAGTTTGATGAAAAAATGGACAATAACATTGTGACAGTCACATTTCAGAACAACTAACAACTAGCACGTTAGGAATTATGTTGCATGAAAAATATACAGACTGCACCAGTCGAACAAGTTCAACAAATATAACATTGATATATTTATAAAATATACTTATACTAAGTTTGGAAATGAATTATATTATATTATAATTAAACATAAATTATATTTATAAGATGTCTACAAATATCTGCATTTTTAAATAAAACATTTACAAAATCTTGAATCATTTTACATGTTGTAATTTATATTAAATTAAAAAATTAAAAATGATTATAAAAAAGTTTAAGTAAAGTTAAACTTAAGTTTTAAATCATGTTCAGCATGTTAGTTGAGCCAAGCAAAAATAAGGCAATATAGAAAATGACTTACTGAAGTGGAGACTGAAGAATAAAGAACAACAAAACAAACAAATAAGCAGGAAAAATTTTACGTTTTAGTTTAGTTAGGTAGAATTAGAAAAAGGCACAACTAATAAAGCAACCATTCGCACAAAGGATTTTCGCAGAATGGACCACGATTTCCCCTTGAAATTGCAGTCCACACAATAGACTTTTTGTACAACGGACTCCGATACAATTGATCAAACCATTTATCCTACGAAAAATAGAATAAATAGCTTACATGGTTCAGACAAATGACATCAGTTTTTTTTAAGAGCAGTTGAGCAAAATCAAATGAAAAAATTTAGAAAGAAAACAAACTTTGTCAAAAAAAGTTAAAGCAAAATTAAGCAAAGTATCTCAAAAAAACTTTTTCTTAGTTTTTGCACTTTTTACTGCTTTTCTACTTGTTGCTAAGTGTTTCTGAGAAGTGAAAAAAAATACAAATTGATTGGGTTCACTAAATTTCACTTGTTTATCTGATTTTTTCTCATTTTTTTTGTTTTTCTTTAAATTTTTAGTTCGGCGCAGAACCAATTATTTTGATTTACATAGAACATAGAAGTTTTCTATGGTAATTCGTGTTTTGCATAACCTGACTTTTCTTACAATGGACTTCCTCGCGGAACGGATTAAGTCTGTGGTGCGGGGAACCCTATACTTTAAACTAAAATTACTGATACAGTATTTATTTTTAATACTAAATTTTACTTACCTACGGTCAGAATTCGATTTCCTTCGTTGCCGTCTGGACTTATTTACTCACCCTCACTACTTTATATTTTTATAATATAAAAGAATTGACTAAAGTCAGCAAACGTTCCCTAATCTAACCCTGACACTAACCAGCTCACAATTACTACTAAATATCACTATGTTATAAAAGCATAAAATAATTTATTTTTATTATTTCATAAAAATATTTAATTTACTAAACTTTTTATTTTTCCAGAATTGCTTAAAACTGAACGTTTGCTGGTGAACATTTGCTAGCTTTTCCCAAGTTATAAAAGTTACTAAATTATTTCTCGTTGAAATAAAAAAGTAATTAAAAGTTGAAATGAGTTTGGCACTGCAAGAAGTGGCAGTGAAGTAAAGTAGCGACGATCGGATAAGTTTATTTTGCAAAATTATAATGCGTTAACATTTTTCTTTTGTCACTTAACGGTTATAATTATTTGAAAAAAAACAACTGGCTACTTCCTAACAAATACAATTTAACACTAATAAAACAATCGGCAGAACCAAAACAAACAAAACATTATTCATTTGCGTCTGTGAAATCGACTCAGATGCATGCAAGTTATTAACATCAGTGACCCGAAGGCCCGAATTCTTAAAAATAAGCTTTGCTATCGGGCGGATTTTTTTAAGCCATGATCTTTCATCATGATATTGCCCTGCTGATTGCACACCTCAATTATTTCTGATTTTACTCTGTATTTTCTAGTGTAAGCTGTTTGCTTGAATAAACGAGTGCGTGGGTCAGGCCAGTAAGTTATCTCAGTTGGCCTAAGTGTAATGTCTCGCGCTGTCGTGACTTTTGGTCCGAAATACTGAAATGCGTGTGCTCGTTATTTATGTGGTGTTGCCTGAAAATATAGCTACAAGTACGGAATGGCATGATATGAAAGCATTTCCGCTCACATTAGAGCTGAAAAAGAAAATATAATATAAATAACGGTCGTCATCCATTATATTTGAAGCAGGAAACGTCTTAATAAAGATGTCTGTAGCAGGTAGCACGTAGAAGTTTAAAAACAATACATTGACGCAATCGTTTCCAATCAATGTCCTCATATCAATTACATCATCACAAAAGGCTTTCAAACATTTCACGCACTCCAAACACTCTGTTCACATGGTCTCAGAGGCATCAAATTATTCGACATCACCGGATCACTCATCATCTCACGCATCAAATATGCAGCTTCCTCCTGGTCTGGTTTTGCCACGCAACAACAACTTCAGCAGCTACAACCTCTCATCAAAAAACTAATTCGCTTCAACTACCTACCTGCATCATATCCAACCGTCACTCAGATTATTTAACTCACTCGATTCAAGGCTGTTCAAGAAAGTAGAAAATAACAGCAACCACGTCATCTATCCTCTACAACCACCAATCAAAACTACAACACACAACCTTCGTCAGCGCAAACATAACTATAAATTCATCGCCCAATCTACATACCAGGAAAAGACCTTCATCACAAGGCCCCTCAAACATATTAGCACTTTAGAAAACTTTATCATTACTGAACTAGTTTTTTTCTTATAGATCACTTCACTTTTATCGAGCACCTCACTAACTCACTAAGTCATCATTTAGTCTATTAATAAGTCATCAAACATATTAATAAGATTAAAACTTTTTCACTCACAGGCCTAGCCTTTATTTATCGATCACCTCACTAACTCACTAAGTCATCATCTTCTAGTCTATCAATTTGCCGTTAATTCATTTTATATTCCATCGTCAATTACTTTTCTTTTATTTTTCTTATTATTATTATTTATTTTATTCTAACATATTTTATTTTTCATGTTTTATCATTTTTCTTCCTCACTTTTTGTCTTTATTTTCTCACTTATTTGTTTAATTTTGTTTTACTGCCTTGCATGTTGTTACAGTTTTTGCGTCTGTCACATCCTGATTTTTAAAGAATAATAAAAAAAATAAAAAATACTAGTATAGTATTTTTACCCTAATCACACACACTCGCACACACACACACACACACACACAAAAGAAAGAGAGAGAAAGAGAGAGTCGTCCGGTGGCAGATCAATATTTATTGTAGGAAGTTACAACGACACGAAAGGCTACTTCCACGGTGAACTAATAAATGAAAACTGTAAAGAAATAAAAAACATTAAACGCAAAGATATCATCATCAAAAATTCAAATCACAATAAAAGAAAACTGATTTTTATTTTTAATCATCATCATTGCGGTTCATCCAACGGTTGTCTCAAGCCATTAATCCTTCAGTGCTTTGTCTCCAATTTTGGCCACCTTAACCATCTTATTGCAAGAAGTTACAACGACACAAAAGGCTACTTTCCGGAGAACTAATAAATGAAAGCTGTAAAGAAATAAAAAACATGATATTTTAAGTATATGCATGGGTGTTATTATCAGCTTCTGCGGTTTTGACAATTGTTTACAATGTTAACAGTTCCCAATTTTATTTTTTTTATTTATTTTATTTATTTATTTATTTGAACAAAGCACGGGCTATTGCCCATTACCGAATTTACAGGAAAAAAAATACATAGTATTATACATGCATACCACGATACATTCGTACAATTGCTTCACAGGTATAACCACGAAGATAATGCATTATACCATGGCAGATTGAAAATAATTTCCAAAAACAATAAATTAACACTAACAGTGTCTCTTGAGTGTCACCATAAATGCAAACTTATAAACCAAGATATAATAAAATACTTTATCCATCTAACCTAGAAATTTCATTAACTATTTACCAATCAATAAAAAAAAACCAAACAATCATATGAAAAACAATAATAATAATAAGAAAGTTATGAAGTCAATATAAAATATAATTAACCAAAAAATTTATAAATGAAATACGCATATGCATTCAACCATAAATGGGTAATGAAATAATCAATCCAAGTCAATCATACATATTCCCAGTCATTACTGATAAAAAATAAAACAAATACATATTTTTACCTATATTTATGCTCATATTTTTACCATATGATAATTATTACATTAACCTCATAATAATGAGTATTATAAATGTTGCATGAGTAATTCTCTCATTAATCCACTCCCATCCATCCATGAAAAATTCTTATTCAATCATACTAATAGATTAAAAATCTCAAACCATTTCTACTTATCAACACACACATCCAATTGAACCGTCAGTTTAAAAGTATCACCTATATTGAAATTTAGCATCACCCCAAAACAAATCCAAACGAGATTTAAAAACACTTGTATTTGGAGAGTCAACAACAGATTGCGGGAGTCTATTCCAGTCCGCGACTACTCTGTTACAAAAAAAATATTTTCTAACATCCTTGTGAGATAAACCTGTTGACAACTTCATATGATGCCCTCTAGTTCTCCCATCATTATTGAGCAACATGAACGAATGATCAGTATCTGGATTGGCCACCAACATTTTATATAAAAAAATCAGGTCCGCTCTAGTTCTTCGATATTTCAAAGAATGCAAGTTCAATTTTTTTAATCTATCAATATACTCTAAACCATAACAAGAACGGATAGATCTAGTAGCTCTTCTTTGAACTTTTTCAATCATTTTTATTAGGTTTATGTGATGTGGGCACTAAACCTGTACCGCATACTCTAGATGTGGTATAACCAAGCCTTTGTAGAAACATAGGTAAGCCTCTTCATCAA